ATTACGGGATAATTTAACTTAAACTTAACTTAAACATAAACTTAAACTTAACTTGAACTTAACTTCCACTAAACTTTAACTTCAACTTAACTTTAACTTAACTTTAAATAAACTTTAAAATAACCTTAACTTTACTTTGACTTAATTTTAACATAACTTAAATTTAACATAACTTAAATTTAACATAACTTTATCCTAACATTAACTGAACTTTAACTTAACTTAAGCATTAACTTTAACTTTAACATAACTTTAACTTTAACATAACGTCAACGTTAACTTAACTTAAATTTATCTTAAATTTAACTTTAACTTAACTTTAACTTAACTTTAACTTAACTTTAACTTAACTTTAACATAACTTTAACTTAACTTTAAGTTAAATTTAACTTAACTTTAACTTAACTTTAACTTAACTTTAACTTAACTTTAACTTAACTTTAACATAACTTTAACTTAACTTTAAGTTAAATTTAACTTAACTTTAACTTAACTTTAACTTAACTTTAACTTAACTTTAACTTAACTTTAACTTAACTTTAACTTAACTTTAACTTAACTTTAACTTAACTTTAACTTAACTTTAACTTAACTTTAACTTAACTTTAACTTAACTTTAACTTAACTTTAACTTAACTTTAACTTAACTTTAACTTAACTTTAACTTAACTTTAACTTAACTTTAACTTAACTTTAACTTAACTTTAACTTAACTTTAACTTAACTTTAACTTAACTTTAACTTAACTTTAACTTAACTTTAACTTAACTTTAACTTAACTTTAACTTAACTTTAACTTAACTTTAACTTAACTTTAACTTAACTTTAACTTAACTTTAACTTAACTTTAACTTAACTTTAACTTAACTTTAACTTAACTTTAACTTAACTTTAACTTAACTTTAACTTAACTTTAACTTAACTTAAACTTAACTTTAACTTAACTTTAACTTAACTTTAACTTAACTTTAACTTAACTTTAACTTAACTTTAACTTAACTTTAACTTAACTTTAACTTAACTTTAACTTAACTTTAACTTAACTTTAACTTAACTTTAACTTAACTTTAACTTAACTTTAACTTAACTTTAACTTAACTTTAACTTAACTTTAACTTAACTTTAACTTAACTTTAACTTAACTTTAACTTAACTTTAACTTAACTTTAACTTAACTTTAACTTAACTTTAACTTAACTTTAACTTAACTTTAACTTAACTTTAACTTAACTTTAACTTAACTTTAACTTAACTTTAACTTAACTTTAACTTAACTTTAACTTAACTTTAACTTAACTTTAACTTAACTTTAACTTAACTTTAACTTAACTTTAACTTAACTTTAACTTAACTTTAACTTAACTTTAACTTAACTTTAACTTAACTTTAACTTAACTTTAACTTAACTTTAACTTAACTTTAACTTAACTTTAACTTAACTTTAACTTAACTTTAACTTAACTTTAACTTAACTTTAACTTAACTTTAACTTAACTTTAACTTAACTTTAACTTAACTTTAACTTAACTTTAACTTAACTTTAACTTAACTTTAACTTAACTTTAACTTAACTTTAACTTAACTTTAACTTAACTTTAACTTAACTTTAACTTAACTTTAACTTAACTTTAACTTAACTTTAACTTAACTTTAACTTAACTTTAACTTAACTTTAACTTAACTTTAACTTAACTTTAACTTAACTTTAACTTAACTTTAACTTAACTTTAACTTAATTTAACTTAACTTTAAATTTAACTTAACATTAACTTACACACCAAATTTCTTAAACCTACACGGTTAGAAAAAAGTACCCAAAATTAAGTTCTTTTCACTCATCTCGGCACTATAGTGCAGGAACCCAAAAGTAGGTAAAGCGGGTCAAAGTAAATTTCATTTACTTGTGTGCAATTCGTATGGAATTTTCCACTGGCTTTTTAACCAAAAGTAAGTTAGTTGTACCCAACAGTAGGTAAATATGATTATACTCAACGTTGGGTTCCCACACTTTACTACCCCTGTTGGGTGGTTTTGCTCCTCCGTTTTTGACAACATTAGAAGGAGAAAAGGAGACAAACTAGTCAAAAGTAGGTAAAAGTGAACTTTCCGTTGGGTACTTTTTTCTTACCGTGTAGTTCGGTACTTGTTTTTGCTGGATTCATTCTGTAAAATACAATTTTTACCGAAAGCTTTGTAAAAAATATCGTTTTACCAATTCTCCGCAATCAAAATTGCTGAATTTCCGTAATTTACTGAAATTTACCATAAACTGTAATTAAACATTACTGAATAAAACTGTAAATGGCTGAATTTCCGCAATACTGTAAAAATTGTGACGAATGAACTGTTAACCCAATATTTTACAAAAACAAACAGTAACTGCTGTACGAGAGTTTTGTAAAAATTACAGAACATTTTGTAAACTTCATAATATTAAACCCGAGATCAAACCCAACTTTTGCTGCCATTTCTTAGATGAGTTTTCTTCTGTGCTCCGTTGTTAAAAGTAAGTACTTTACTTTTTTACTACAATCCATTCGCTGAAAGCATAATTCTTTTTCATTACTGAGCCATATGCTTTCAGGTGCCATGGACATAAGGCTTGACATTTAGCGATCTAATGTCCTCCTCAATAGGAAAAAAAGCGAGTTTGTATGCGGTGTACTGACACTGAGTAGAGAGAATATTATTTTTGAACGGACGCACAATGGAAATACAAAAACAAGAATAAATGTTTATGAGCCAAATGAATCTTTTCGTTTATTTAGAGAAAGAAATAATCAATTAATCAATTAAAATCATGTTTTTATCATTCATTCAGAGAAATAATGTACAGTCATTTCGAAGAATATTCAGCAAAATTTACAGTCCAGGTCAGCAAATTTTGACAGCTCACAAAGAAAGAAAATTAACTGAACGAATTGTAAATAAAAAAATACCGAATAGATTACCGAATGTTCAGCTGTTCCATATTCGGTAAAAAATTACAGTGTACTGTAAAAAAATCTAAGTGTGTAACTTTCGCTAAACTTTAACTTAACTTTAACTTTAATATAACTTTAACTTTAACATAACTTTAACATAATTTCAACATAACTTTAACTTTCAAATAAATTTAACTTAACTTTACAATAATTTCAGCATAACGTTAACTTAATTTCAACATAAATTTAACTTAATTCTTCCAAACTTTATTCTGAATTTAATAAAACTTTAACTTTAACATTACTTTATCTTACCATTAATAAAACATTAACTTAACTTTACCTTAAACATAGCTCTAACATAAATTTAACTTTAGCATAACTTATACTTCACTTTAACCTAGTTACTAGCGACGCTTTGGTAGAGTTGCGGATCCTTCTCAAGACGCTTTTCGAGACATTTCAGACGACGCTCGGCCATCGGTCTGCTATTCGAGAATTCGATGATGTCTTGTTTCCACAGTAGTCCAGTCTCGTACTTCCCATTCGATGTTCTCACGGTCGTTTTTTCGAGGATTCGACGAGCTCGCTGATCTTCAATTCCTTCCAAATTCGGCGCCACAGAGACCCCTAGACTTTCCACAGAGAAGAATTCCCGTACGTAGTCATGCAGATCGAGTTCCGCTGGCTCCACGCATATGTGCATCTGCCGGTGTTGAAATTGATGAGCTCCCCCTCGTAGACCGCCGCAGACTACCCATCCGATACGAGTTTTCGCAGCGACTGGCTCTTGTTCTTCTCCTTCCCGCAGTTTCAACGTATTCATTAGATGAGTGTTGTTTAACCCAATCAGCACACCAGGAACGGCCCTTTGGAAACTCTTGACTGATAGGTTTCGGAAATGCTTGTACTGCTTCGCCATGCTTTCAAAGTCCAACGATTGCTCCGGTAGCCCTAAGTTCTCGACGGTGTAGACCTCCGATACATCAAATCGCTTCTTACCGCCGGGTTCTGATATTCCCAGCTTTCCCAGTTGTTTAGTGGGAATCTTTTTGTTGATCCCGCTTGTCCACTGAATGCACAAGGATTGCATTTTTCCATCAGCTCCGAGCTCTTCCGCTATTGATTTTTCTACTAGGGTAACCGATGATCCATCGTCCAGAAACGCGTAGGTATCAATGGATCCATTCTCCCCGTATAACGTCACCGGAAGTATCTTGAACAACGTCGACGAAACGGGCTGACGATGGATGGTGACAGTAGCGTTGGTGGTAACCGTGGATTGTCCTGCAGCGGGCTCGTAATGTAGTAGCTGATGATGGCGCTTTTCGCAACCGTTGACGCCGCAAACCTCACCTTCACATGGCCAGCGAGTATGCGAAATGAGACATCTACGACACAGCTTGTTCACTTTCACCACTTTCCAACGTTCATCCAACGATAGCTTCTTGAATGATGAACAATTCGCTACAACGTGATCCATCGCCTTGCACATCGGGCAGCGTTTTTCACCTTCACTTTCCTTGCTTTTACCGTCCGTTGGCATCTCTCGACGGTCACTCTTTTGTTGATTACTGGACGATACCGTACTCCTCCGGTCACACGCAGCGTGCGTATTTACGAATGCCCTTTCCTTCACTCTCGGCTTCTCCTCCTTCGGGATTCTCGCTGAGAAACACAGGTTTGTAATACCACTGGTAGCAGATGTCACCTTTTCCATGTACTCCCCAAAAGCGCTCAAATCGACAACCGGTAGATTCTCTTGGAAGAGCGCCCAGCTGAATTTGATGGTTGCTGGAAGCTTATCAACGAGCTCCTGGAGAAGAATAGGGTTGGAAAGATGGTTCTCCATTCCGACAGCCCTCAGATGCCCACATAAATTTTGGACAACTAACCCAAACTGGACTAGCGTTTCCAGTCTTTCCGCCTTTGGCGCTGGCGTCGCACGCACTTTGGCAACCATGTTATGCACGATCTGTTCAGGCCTCCCAAACAAGGTCTGCAGAGTGGTTAGAATTTGTGGCACGGTCGACGGATGAAGAAGGAAACTACTGACCGACTCTTTTGCAACCCCTTTTAGGGAACGTTGCAAGCGCAGAAGATTTTCCGAGTCCGAGTAGCCAAAGTTTCAGTAGAGTGCTTGTAGCTACTTATGAAGAGTGGCCAGTCGATTGGATCCCCAGAGAAAATTGGAAGCTCTTTTGGGATGACATGCCTGGCAGCTAGCTGGTGATGTGTTGGACCATATTGTACCGGTGGAAACTGATTATGTTGACAAGGATTCAACTCCGGAGGGTGATACGGATTGAACTGTGGATGACCCTGTGGTCCTACATAAGGCGGCCCTAACGGATTGAGCTGTGGTTGAACTTGTGGCCCTTCATAAGAAGGCCCTAACGGATTGAGCTGTGGTTGACCTTGTGGCCCTACATAAGAAGGCCCTAATTCTGGGGGTACAATAAATGTACGAGGCGTTCCTAATCTGTCTAACGAATTAGCGACACTGGGACAGGGTGTCGCAATGTTGGAGGAGTTATTTATTCCACTACGCTCCAAATCAGGGGTACGGTCCGTACTCACGCGTTGCATTGGCTGAGCCGATGGTGCCACCTGTTGCGACCCGGTTGCTTGAAATGGATGACTCTGCTCTCGTTGGCGAAGTAATTCTCGCTGCTCGGCCATTTGTTGCTCCAACGATCGAAATCTTCGTCGGTCTTCGTCTCGGTCCGCTAGCTCCTGCTGCCTTACTGCCACCAGAGTCTGATACTGCTCATGACTCATTTCAAGCTGCTTCTGCAAAGCGTCTTCAACCTTGAGCAATTTGTCCCGTTCTTCCGTATGCCGTTGTTCCAAGAGCTTCAACTTGTTGACTAGTTCCATCTCTCGTTTGCGCCTCAAATCATTCTCCTCTCGATGTTTGGTTTCCAGATCATGCTGCCTCCGCAAGCCGTCTTCCATTTCACGCAGCCGCTGCCGGTCCTTATCGCGCTGTTCTTCCGCGCGTCTGAGGTGATCTTCCAACTCACGCTCACGTTGCTCATGTCGTTTCAGTTCATCGTTATGCTGACGTTGAAGTTCAAGACTTTGCTGCTTCCTTAACTGGTTGGTTTCACGATGCCAAACTTCGTATGGAGAGGTGTTCATCATTTGCTTTGGTACGATCTTCGGGATCGTGCCAGTTTTTGATGACATCGGATTCGTTGCGATCTTCAACGGTGCAAGCCAAGAATCTTCCAGTAGGCGAGTGTACGGCTGAATGTTCACCAACTGTAGCTTTGGCGAAATCAAATGGTTTGACGGATTCCGATGTTGATTGCTTGCTGAATCTGACTCGCTTCGTGGACTTTCCCCGATGGTAATGCTATCGGCTGTAGGAGAGATGGAGATTTCGTCCCCATCGATATCCACTACTTCCTCGTTGATTCCGCTATTCATCAGCGGAGTTGACGTTCCAACGGGTGTTGGGGCTAGTTCCTGAACGGAGTTCTTGGTCTCGGTCACGATTCCTTCCACGTTGACTTGATTGTTTCCAGTGGGCTTCACATGTTGCTCAACCCATGCTTCAACCTTTTGGATGCTACTTCTGCTACTACGCCGATTTCGTGAGCTAGCTATTTCATCGTCCTGCTGACGGAGCAGCTCGTGCTTTCGAGCGATGTACTCCTTTTCTCGTTCCAATTTGTCCTTCATCGCTTTATCTACCAGTCGTAACCGTTCCTCCTCCACTTTCTCCTGTAGAAGCCTTTCTTCCTCCAATCGTTCTAGATCACGGGCTATCTGAGCTCGCCGTGAACTAGAGACACTGGACCGTCCAGCAACAGAACTAGCAGACGGAGGGGGTACCACAGTTGAACACTGCGCACAGGAAAAGTCCTTCGAACGTACCGTAACTGGATCGACATTAGCGCACGAGAAATGGTACCAACGCTTACAGCCTCCGCATTGGACCATATACAGCTCGGCATTATTGGGTCGATCACATTCTGCACACTCGCATTCATTTCCATGCTCGAGATCGATCACCGAAGGCACAAAACTATCGTCCGCTGTCGTGTCCGGATCATCAGCAATCGCACAAGCACCAGTTCCCGGCGCTTCCTGGGTGGCCTTGGCTCTAGATCGGGTCTGGCGGACGAATGATCTTTGCATTATGATAAAGATTCTTTGAGAATGTTGCGATAACTTTCTTTTCCGAGCTCTTCGAAGCAAATCGTCCTTTTTTTGTAGTGCGATAGCTCAAAGCTGCAATGTTTATTATTTAGTTAGTTTTAGGTTATTTTTGGTTTCATCATATATACTTACAATCTGTCTCGTACTTAGTATTAATTCACAACTTCAATAGCAAAATTCAAATTCATCATTATGTTAAGCAAATACCTGTAATTAAATCTAATTGTTACTAACTAATTAAGAGAAAATATAAATTTTAATTCACTTTTTACTTCTGCTTCAAAACACTATACAATGACAAATCATTATTTCTTATCTCTCTGACGTTTCACCAAAACGATCCATTGTCTCCCAATTCATCTTCCACAACATCCAAATTGTACGAGGGGTCGTTAGATGGATCCACTCGTCGGAACAATAACTTTAACCTAATTTAACATTAATATAAATTAAACGAAACTTTATCATAACTTAAACTTAACTTTACCTTTATCATAACTTAACTTTAACATAACATTCATTTTAGTTTAACTTTAACATTAATTAAACTTAACTTTAAGATACCTTTAATTTAACTTTAACAAAACTTCAGCAGACATCTAACTCAATTTTAATATAACTCTAACTTTACTTTAACATAAATTTAATTTAGCTTAACTTTAACGTAATTTTAACCTACCTTTAATTTATCTCGAACTTACCCACACGAATTGCCGGCGAAAAAGTGACGTCATTTGACATTGAGCGACTTGAAGACTGATCGTTCGCCCTTTGTCCGGGATGCGGACGAAGGGCGACTCGCCCCGCTAGAGTAATTTCATCTGCCGGGCGACCAAATGGCGCTCCGGGATGCGGACGAAGGGTGACTCGCCCCGCTAGAGTACCCACATACAGCGGGCTAGTCGCCCACGGCTCGCCCCCGGACCGCTCGGCGGACGGGGCGGACTTGGGCGGACTTGGGCGACTCGAACCTCGCGGCGCCACTTGGTGCAAATTTGGTCGCCGGCGCGCCGGGGGCGACCATATTTGCAACATTTGGGCGCCTGAGGCGAAAACGATACCTGTCAAAAAACTGATCATTTCGGCCATTTTGCCCGCCCCCAGGCGCCCCTGCACACTCACGGTTGTTCACCACCATTTTCTTTTCAAAAGGTTTTAAATTAATAAAAATAAAAACAGTTGAAGCATGAACATGACTTCATCAATAAACTTTATTTATCTTATTCTTATAACTAACATATGTTTTTTTTTTTTATTAAATAGATCTTAACCTAACAATAATATCTTACAAACTAAGTCGAACCCATCATGTAACACATCAAAATACACGGGAATTCAAAGACTAGTTCAATGGAACATGAGAATTCAATTTTTGGTTCAATGGAACTCAAATCTAGTTCCAAGAACCACTTTGACCACATCCGGACATATTCCGGGTGTCCCGGGGGAAGAGGCCAACATCTGATTAGGGTCAAACAAATCATGCGACACATCAAATTACATGAGAATTCAATTTCTGGTTCAATGGAACTCAAATCTAGTTCCAAGAACCACTTTGGCCACATCCGGACATATTCCGGGTGTCCTGGGGGAAGAGGCCAACATCTGATTAGGGTCAAACCCATCATGCGACACATCAAAATACATGAGAATTCAATTTCTGGTTCAATGGAACTCAAATCTAGTTCCTAGAACCACTTTGGCCACATCTGGACATATTCCGGGTGTCCCGGGGGAAGAGGCCAACATCTGATTAGGGCCAAACCCATCATGCGACACATCAAAATACATGAGAATTCAATGACTGGTTCAATGGAACTCAAATCTAGTTCCAAGAACCACTTTGGCCACATCCGGACATATTCCGGGTGTCCCGGGGGAAGAGGCCAACATCTGATTATGGTCAAACCCATCATGCGACACATCAAATTACATGAGAATTCAACGACTGGTTCAATGGAACTCAAATCTAGTTCCAAGAACCACTTTGGCCCCATCCGGACATATTCCGGGTGTCCCGGGGGAAGAGGCCAACATCTGATTATGGTCAAACCCATCATGCGACACATCAAAATACATCAGAATTCCATTTCTGGTTCAATGGAACTCAAACCACTACAAGAACCACTTTGGCCACACCCGGACATATTCCGGGTGTCCCGGGGGAACCCGAATAAAAATTTACGTTTGCCTAACGTTTGATGTCTACATCAGCATCGAAATAAAATATATTCCTGGCATCAAACATTAGAAAACATTGCGATTTAGATGTATTTATACAAGGTCTTAACTTATCTTTAACATAACCTTAACTTAATTTTAATAAAACTTAAATTTTAACATAACTTTAACCTAAAATTAACTTTAATTTTACTTCAAATTTTAACTGAAATTCACCATAACTTTAACATAACTTTGTCTTTAACCGAACATTAACTTAACATATCTTTAACTTAAACAAAACCTTAACGTAATTTTAACTTACATTTAACGTAACTTTATCCTAACATTAACTGAACTTTAGCTTAACTTAAGCATTTACTTTAACTTCAACATAACGTTAACTTAACTTAAACTTAACTTTAACTTAACTTTAACTTAACTTTAACTTAACTTTAACTTAACTTTAACTTAACTTTAACTTAACTTTAACTTAACTTTAACTTAACTTTAACTTAACTTTAACTTAACTTTAACTTAACTTTAACTTAACTTTAACTTAACTTTAACTTAACTTTAACTTAACTTTAACTTAACTTTAACTTAACTTTAACTTAACTTTAACTTAACTTTAACTTAACTTTAACTTAACTTTAACTTAACTTTAACTTAACTTTAACTTAACTTTAACTTAACTTTAACTTAACTTTAACTTAACTTTAACTTAACTTTAACTTAACTTTAACTTAACTTTAACTTAACTTTAACTTAACTTTAACTTAACTTTAACTTAACTTTAACTTAACTTTAACTTAACTTTAACTTAACTTTAACTTAACTTTAACTTAACTTTAACTTAACTTTAACTTAACTTTAACTTAACTTTAACTTAACTTTAACTTAACTTTAACTTAACTTTAACTTAACTTTAACTTAACTTTAACTTAACTTTAACTTAACTTTAACTTAACTTTAACTTAACTTTAACTTAACTTTAACTTAACTTTAACTTAACTTTAACTTAACTTTAACTTAACTTTAACTTAACTTTAACTTAACTTTAACTTAACTTTAACTTAACTTTAACTTAACTTTAACTTAACTTTAACTTAACTTTAACTTAACTTTAACTTAACTTTAACTTAACTTTAACTTAACTTTAACTTAACTTTAACTTAACTTTAACTTAACTTTAACTTAACTTTAACTTAACTTTAACTTAACTTTAACTTAACTTTAACTTAACTTTAACTTAACTTTAACTTAACTTTAACTTAACTTTAACTTAACTTTAACTTAACTTTAACTTAACTTAAACTTAACTTTAACTTAACTTTAACTTAACTTTAACTTAACTTTAACTTAACTTTAACTTAACTTTAACTTAACTTTAACTTAACTTTAACTTAACTTTAACTTAACTTTAACTTAACTTTAACTTAACTTTAACTTAACTTTAACTTAACTTTAACTTAACTTTAACTTAACTTTAACTTAACTTTAACTTAACTTTAACTTAACTTTAACTTAACTTTAACTTAACTTTAACTTAACTTTAACTTAACTTTAACTTAACTTTAACTTAACTTTAACTTAACTTTAACTTAACTTTAACTTAACTTTAACTTAACTTTAACTTAACTTTAACTTAACTTTAACTTAACTTTAACTTAACTTTAACTTAACTTTAACTTAACTTTAACTTAACTTTAACTTAACTTTAACTTAACTTTAACTTAACTTTAACTTACATATAGCATAACTTTAACTTAACTTTACTTGAACATAATTTTAGCAAAACTTCAACTTAAATTGAAACAATTTCGCTATAAATTTATTTTATTTTTAGCATAAGTTTAACTTTAACATAACTTTGAATTTAAATTAATTATAACTTAACATAACCATAACTTTAACGTTACTTGAACTTCAACATAAATTTAATTTAAATTTAACTTTAACATAACTTATACATCAATTTGAATAAACTTCACCTTAACATAATTTTAACTTACCATTAACTTATCGTTAACTTAAATTTTACTTAACTTTAATTTAACGTTCACTTAACTTTAACATAAATTTTAACTTACCTTTAACTTAACTTTATCTTAAACATAAATTAACTTAACTTTATCTTAACATAAACATAACTGTAACTTACCTTTAACTTAACTTAAACATAACCTTAACTTAACTCTAGCTTAATTTTAACGTAACATTAACTAAATTTTAACTTTTGTTTTAACAAATGTTTATCTTACCATTAACATAACTTTAACTTTAACATAACATGAACTTAACTTTAACTTTACTTTAACATAATTGTAGCATAAAATTAACATAACTCTAACTTAATTAGCCGAACTTTAACTTAACTTCAACATAATTTTAACTTAAATTTAGTTGTTACTTACTTAATTTAACTGAACATTGAAATACCTTTAACTTTTACTTAATTGTAATAAAAAATTAACTTAACTTTACCTTAAACATAAACATCGGGATCCGGCATCGGCATGCGTTGCATCGGTAAGGATTCCTCCAGCGGATCAGTGGAAGCAGCCGGCGTAATTAGTGGAAGCAGTCGGCTGAAAAAAAGTATTTTAAAAAATCATCAAAATTTTTCATCTGTCAATTTGTAATTAATTTCAATTTGTAATTAATTTCAATTTGTAATTAATTTCCAAAATTGATCCGCTGGAGGAATCCGGCTGAGTTATGCATCCTAACTGATGCAATGGTTTGACGGATTCCGATGTTGATTGCTTGCTGAATCTGACTCGCTTCGTGGACTTTCCCCGATGGTAATGCTATCG